ACACGCATTAAATTGAGATCAATAACAGCGCTAATAACAAACAAACTGAGTTTATTCTTTAAAACAATAGTATTACTGCTTGTTCTGAGGAAAGAAATAAACCTCTCTCTTCTGGAGAACAATTAATGTAGACATCAATTTATTTATTTATATCAAATGGCAGGCGTTCTGATAGTTATCATTAGCCCTTTAGTTGACTTCAGGCTTCACAGAGGGGAAGGAACATCAAAGTGAAAAAAAGTCTTCGGGAGGGGTAGACAGAAGAGTGCTTCAAAGACGAAGGTAGAAAATGGGTGAGGTGGGTACTGTGGAAGTAGTCGAATATAGCATACAGTGGGATCATGGCAGTTTGAAGTCAGAAGTCAACTGCCCATTGATAGACTTTTTTGCCGTATGAATATACGTTGCCCAGGGTGCACCACGTGGAGGTAAGTCTATCGCACACCCCATGTAGACATCAATATTTAGTCCAAAAATTAACTTTCTACAATGCCATGCTAAAGTATGTACTCGCAGTCATACTGAAAGCATATAAGGTCTCAGCAGTTAAATGAACATAAAAAAGTTGAAATATATGTTGGGATTACTTATGATTGAACAGGCGTAGAATTTCTCGCCATCTATTCTTCATCCCATCAACAATCGAATTAAATTTCAATAAATGGATTTCATTCTACCTAGAAGACAGGGTATTAAAAACAAGAAGAGTTAAGAAAAAGCAAGCGATGAATTCTGGACAGCAAAGACTAACTTACTTAGAATTTATAGATATATTCTCATAGAGGATGCTGCTCACCTCGTTTAATTGCAGTACTATCTTCCCATAATTTGATTCCCGGTGTTAATTGACAATTTCACAGACGCAGCCGACGACACCTTGAAGGTTAACTGAAAGGTTAGCAGTGATGTGGTTTGGCACATAGGTATTGTTACCATCTTAGGGAAGGAAGTGAAATCACTCTAGACAACATTTTAAGCAAAATTTCTCTGGATATGAACTTCTCTTCTTCCACCATTTACTCGTCATCTTTTCCATTAATTTTCCGCCAATCTTTAGCAATGTTAATCAAACATAATAACTCGCAAAAGAAAATGTGACATCCTTTTCATCTCTTTTAAAGAGAAATTTCAAATCGATATTCGAATATCAAAATTACATCTCTACATATCGAAGAGATCAATCGCAAATTTTGTCAAACTTCTGGGGTTATACTCCTGAAATAATTTAGTTTCCAAGATGAGTAATTTATTTTAGTAATTCATGTTCCGATTTTATCCAGATTTTAGCCTTCACTAAATAAAAATATTCGTTTTCACATTCTTGACATTTTTTGTAATTTCCTTCGTTTTCTGAATTTTTATATAATTTTCACAATGAATTATTCTATAGCATTTTTTTCTATCTGTTCTCCACCGTAATATTATATCGCCTATTCTCTCTCATTCCCATCTTAAGGTAGCTGAATGAAAGAAGTCGGAAAGTAATTGATATTCCGCTGATTATATTGATCTTATAAAGGAAGATCTCCAAATTGTAATGACCTCATCAAAGGCAGACTGAGCATTATTGGAATCTTTCCGTTAATACGACATAGGTCTTTCTTTTCTGTGATACACTTTCAATGCAAGTTGAGGCTCTATTGTATATCAATTAAATCTACTCATATTAAAGTGAATATCAATCCTTAACAGCAATTGCTGCATTAGACAGTGCCCAGTTTTGCAACACCGGCTTGTTCAGATATGGTGAAAAATGATATAAGGTAACTTACAAAACCGGATTCCAAATGGAGAAGCATTTCAGCATGAAGCAAAATATAAGATTTCATCAATAGAACATCCTTATTTATGGGTCAAGCTTTATTATACAACTGTAAATTAAACAAACTGGGAAAGTGATGGAGGTGATTGTTCGTTTAATAATGTTTTTTAATAAGTCGTAAATTAAAAATAGTTAGATAACAACAGTATAATTTTGTCTAAAGTAGTACCGTTTATGCCTAAATATGCAATAGTTTGAGTGTAAATAATATATCTTAATGTAAAAGTTACTGAGCGTAAATTGATTCAAGGAAGCGGGATACAATTTCAAGGTTGAAGTTATGTCAACAACCAATAAAATGAAAATTGCCTTACAAATAAAATTTTAAACAAATAAGACATAGAATTTCAAATCCTCATTTAAGTTAGTTTAATGAAAAAATAGTTTAAGAAATTGTTTCACTTTCGAAATCAATGTCTACTTATGTTGAAACAATTCAAATATGTTCAGTAAACTATCACAATAACTAAGTAAATTATTCAAATAATAAAATGGCCGATTCGCCTTTCAAGAATTTTTCTCTAGTAACGATAGAAGCTGAATATCAGGTCGTTTGAGCCGGGCCATGTATAGACTCGGTGGGTGTAATCGATTTATCCTGGACGGATTTTCAATTGCTTTCTGCCTTCCAAAAATCATTGAAATTTTGCTTCGTAAAATCTAAGAGGCTTATTTTTCTGTATTTCTTCTTATCATTTGGCTTTTGGGAAATTCGCAAAACTTTTTGAACGGTTCTTCGCTTTTGAAGGTAGAAGTATCATAGCTGATCTTATATGCTAACTTATCATTGTTATTTCAGAAATTGTAAGCCGGCTTCATAATCTTCATATGTTATACCTATTGTTCAATATTTTATAATTAATGACAGTACTAAAGTAGTTCAAGGAAAATCTTGCCAACTATTCTATTTATATCCTTAAAAGGGGGTGTGCGATAGACTTACCTCCACGTGGTGCACCCTGGGCAACGTATACTCATGCGGCAAAAATTCTATGAACTGGCAGTTGACTTCTAACCTCAAACTATCATGACCCCACTGTATGTCATATTCTACCACTTTCACAGTACTCACCTCACCTTTCATCTACCTTTGTGTCTCTCTCTTTTGCATCTTTAAAACACTCTTCAGTCCCCCCCTCTCGACTTTTTTTCAATTTTTATGTTCCTCACCCTCTGTGAAGCCTGAAGTCAACTAAAGGGCTAATGATATAAATAAATATCCGAAATAGTTTGTCTTCTTATTGTCATTTCTTGTAATAACCTTCAATTATTAATTCTTAGGACAAATAGAAACAAATTATTTTGGAGATGCTAGCGGAAGTATTCATGCAAAGTGTAGCGAAATGCCACACAAATAAGCTTTGATTTATCCTCAGTAATCTCTATGTCAAGTTTTCCTAGTTTGGAAAGGCTCCCGGACTTGAACTATCGCAAATGATATAGAGGAGGAAGACGTATTGCGTGCAAAGTGTTGATTGAAAATTTTGATATCACATACATATGGCATAATTTTAATAAACATTAATAACGAACCATCTGAGCAGTCCTGTTCACTCACGGCCACACCCGCCAGAATGTGTTTAATCGTGTGAGTATTGCATGGGTCACAAATAGGCAGTTTCGTTATCAATTTTACGAAATAGGGGAAAAGGTTTAGCTCCTTTGCTGCTTGGCATCTCACTGTGAAGCTCGTGGTTTACAAAAATGAACCTCATTGGCAATCTTTTTACCGAGCATCACGTCAACTTTTACTTGCTACCGTTGAAGATCCACTTAGCAAATTTTTATGAGTAAGGTTAACTGATGAATAATTTCAGACGCAATAACTGGTAGTAGTTCAATAGTTCTTTTCGTTGTTTTAGACTTAAGGAAAAATTTGGTTTTCCTTTTGTTTGGACTGACGCTCCAATGTACCCTGCAGGTCAATGCCAATAGCCTTTGTTTTAATTTGTTTATTTGTTTTTCAAAATATGCATTCAACCTTATTGGAAACAGTTAAAAAAAACAGAATTAATTTCATTAGCGTAAGACTTCAGGGAGCCGTAGTTTTTATTTTTTCATTAGGAACGCTCGTTAACTCTTTAAATCAGTAGATATAACATTCGTATCAAAGTTATTAGCAAAAATAGTAAATTATCTTTCATGAATAACATTATTTATTTTGGACTTGGGTGCAATTTTTAGGAATCCCAAGAGTAATAGTGATGAGGATCTTGAAAATGGAAAGTATGAATTTGATGACGGCGCAGAAAGTTCTCCATAATCACGGAGAATACATCTTTTAAATCTGAATCCTAACTTAGTGTTCAAAATAAAGGTCATGTTGATTTGGTCATCAAAAATTATCGCGCTAGAAATTCACTATCGAGTTTCGTGATATAGTACCATTAAATTAAGCTCAATAAAGAAATAACTGGTCAAAATTTAAGACTGACTATCATGTAAACGGGAATTGGTGACACATAGTAGATTGCTAGTGCTAAAGGTTATAATGTTAATTTCAAGTAATTTTCTCAACGAAGTACCCGAGAAAGCGTGTTGAAACCAGGCAACACCAAGGTCCTGCACTTTAAATCTTTATTATCAAAATTCGGAGTTCAAAGTGGTAAACTTATTTAAAAGAAAAATCTCAACCTTTTAAACCTTAATCGATAGCGCATGTTTTAAAGAGGACAAGGAAGGGAAACTAATATTATTTCTCTCTACCCGTGAAGGATTAAAGTAGGTCATTAAGGTTTTTAATCTATAACATGACATATAAATCTAAGAAGTAAGTTCATCTTAAGAATATGAAGTCCATTTTATAAAATTTTCAAATAAAATATTCGCAGATATTTCCTTGTTACTATTAGCTCAAATATGGAATTTTAAAGTTTTCATTTAATTTTTTTATAGAATATATGTCAACCATTCATTTAAGCAATATTTTTGTGCGGTTTATCAACACTTAACTAAAAACCCAGTTTGAATTGAGATACTGTTATTTCATCTGACCTTAAATGCACAAAAAACGAATTTTGTAAAACTATAAAATTTTGTTTTATAAATAATTTTTTAATTTTTAAATAAAAGAAAATAAAATATTCATTATTTATTTATTATACCGATATTTCAAGACGCGCTTATTCGACTATATAAACGCATTAGCGCTGCGCGATTAATTACTTTACAGATTGTGATGAATACGTCAGTGGTTATTCCTGAGCCAGGAACTCTAGAAGCAGAATGTCCAGGAGGCGTTAGTTGGGCTTTCTATATATTAGGCGAGTGTATTCGAAGTCCCAGGGATAAAGTTTCTATAGCTTTTGGCATTCTGGCCATTTGCGCCTGGCTTCTTTTCGCCCTTCCACAAATTATTGAAAACTATAAGAAAAAGATCCCAGATGCCGCTGTATCAGAGTTTCTACTTATCTTTTGGATTCTCGGAGATTCTCTTAACTTCATCGGTGCATTAATGGCAAACCAACTTTTCTTCCAAGTAAACTACTTAATCTGGCTTGATTTACGTATCATTCTGTTTCTCACTGCTTACCTTCTTTTTTAGAAAGCCCTGGCTGTATATACGGTAGTAGTTGACTTCATCCTTACCGGCCAATTTTACTACTACCGATGGATTCACAGGCGAAATTTAAAACGTATGTTTAATCCTCCTTGCTTCGGTCTTTTTAATATTCCAGAACTTACGTTGGAGTATTTTGACTCATCTTAGGTGAAATCCAGATTGCTGAATCGAATGGCGAGCCAGAACCTGTAGGTGGAAAGGTATTAGCTGGTGTAATGTTAGGCTGTGTAGCACTTTGTGCTGTGCCATTTGCTCTCCCTGTTTCTCAAACTTCAGGTATGACTGTTGCTGGTGCTTCGTCATACGCTTCAAGGAGGCTTTTTGAATCCACCGCGGAAAATCCGTTTGCAAATTTCTTAAAAGTAATAATAATTACTTCAAACCTTAATCGAACTCATTTTCTAGACTACCGAAGAAAAAGTCGGATACGCTTTTGGTTGGATTAGTACCATAATGTATGCTCTAGGCCGTATGCATCAAATATATGTCAACGTAAGTTTTCAGGATCTTGTTATATTCTAAATGCTCTACTCAAGTTCTAATTTCGAATTTCGTTTTATTCAAGTGGAGACGAAAGAGTACTGACGGTCTGAGCTTCTATCTATTCTTTCTGGCTGTTCTCGGCAACACCTTCTACTCCTGCCAAATATTCATTAAATCCACTAGTCTATTGCATTTAGTAAATTCCATGCCTTGGATTCTTGGAAGCATTGGCATTCTAGTGTTCGATGCCTTCGTAAGTCCATCGGCCTAATTAACTTGGCTAATTGAGCGATTTTTGGCTAATCGTTTTCCCTCCAAATTGCAGATCCTTATCCAATTCTTTATATATCGTGGACGCATCGCTGTGAATGATCCGGAGAATATGTGCCAGGATTCTGATGTTGAAACTCCAAGCAATGAGAAATGAAAGACTCTTCCAGATTTTTTCAATCTTATTGTTTATTTTCGCGATACTTAATAATAATTGAACATAATTGAACTATTTATGCTAACATGAACTGGTATGTTTTTGTTTGCAGTTTCTTGTTTTGCATGGCATGCTAATGCTGGTATGTGGGCAGGAAGTGAGTGGGCGGGAGTGTGCACCTTGAGTTGACCTGAGTAATTAACTTGGCTGTATTGGGTTTTTACTGCCAATTATATAGTTATTTCTGCCTGGTATTGTTCTGTGGGTTTTGGGGCTAAAACTCCGACGGCAATTTCTATTTTGCTTTTAGAGTCCGCGCCTGGCCTAGTCTACCTTTTCAATAGACTTTTGTCCGAAGAAATTGATTTTAATCTGGTGTGCTTTGTGCAAGAGAGTTTAGGTTCAAATCTATTTGAAACCGTATTCTAGCCTTACAAGCTGGCTGCTAAGTGGTCGTTTAGATAGAAGAGACCATACCACTCGATCATAATCGATTACAAGCATATTCAAACTATTTGAACAAAAGGTTTTGAGTATTCATATCAGTCCACGGGTACATATATTTGTGCCTAAGTGTAGATGTTTGAGAATGGTATTTTTTAACTGCATTCGGGAGTATTCTACCTTCAAAAACTTCATCTATCGGTAGACGTTTGAGTGCAATTCCCGCCTTTATTATATGCTGGACTGTTTGGGAAGACGCGCAGCCCCTGTTCTCGAATGCGGCGTTTTACAATGGGTTAACTTCTGTTTAAAAGAAGCACACTTATAAATTGTTAACCTCCTTAAAATAATTATTAAATATGTATGAAATGAACCATTTTATATTTTTATTTTTAATGTTTGTCTCTTATTGCGTCTTAGCAGTAGTCAAAATCTAATTTGTAATAGAAACCCGGATTCATGCATTAAAAGCTGACTCACAATGGGGAGTCCACTAACTGGGTCACCATTGCTCATGAGGCCAAAAGAATTTGGGAGTTTGTCGTGCGAGCTGGTTCTTTAACGGGGACAAAGTTAGGAGCCGCTAGACTTCAGTCCAAATCAAAGTAATATTTGAGTGATTTGTATGCAAACCATGTCAGTGAGTTTATTTACTTCCATAAAGTATGTCCACAGAGTGATTGGAACATCGAAGTCACAAGAAATCGAGGGGGGGGGGGAGGAAACAGAAGAGGGATTCACAGATGTAAGAGATATAGACAGACACAAAGGCAGAGGAAAGGTAAGATGAGTACTGTGAAAGTGGTCATGGTAGTTTGAAGTTGAAAGTCAACTGCCAGTTTATAGACTTTTGGTCGTATGAGTATGGCTTGCCGAGGGTGCTCCATTTGGAGGCAAGTCTGTCGCGCACTCCTTTTTCCAGACATTGATTGACCTCTGTTAACACAATTTTGTAGGCCAAATCTGTCTTTTCCTCAATTAATTACACCACCTTCCTAAAAATGCTTATGCAAGTCACCCGACGCATTTCATAATTGGCTCAGATGAAATGTACTCATTTCTCAGAGAATGAAGCAGGGACGCTAAATGTAAACCAAAATTTGTTTCCATACAATCGGATAGACAATAGAAATTGTCTTATTTTTCCAACTTCCAGTCAGCGTAGTTAAGCCAATGGATATTACCGACTTCTCGGCATTAATTAAAACAATAAATGGAATTTTTAGAGGAGCAAATTTCATTAATTTCGTTGATGACTTTGTTGCAAAGAAGAGGAAATCGGAGTGATCCAGTTAAAGGAATTACGATCTGCAAGATCCAGAACGTTTGAGATATTTAAAAGATGCGTGGCTTTTAACAATAATAGACTTCAAAAGAGAAGATTTAATTATTGGAATTTCGGTGCCAAGATGACCCCCAGGGTATTAATATTAATCTCTAGATCTCACGCCATTTTGAAAGCATTGGAGTGGATTGGGGGGGGGGATTAGGTGTGAAGGAGATTGGGATCAATCCTATCAGTTGATGGTTTCAAATGACGGGTATTTGTTTCTGTTTGCAACTTAAAATTCTATCGTATTCCATTAGATAGCACATGAAAAAATTACACTAGAGATTAAAATTTTTACAACTTGACCTGGTGGTTTCACTGCTGTCAGTCTGCGAGTTGACATAAATTATTTTTCCTCCACTGTCAAGATCATTGCAGTTGGATGCCATTTCCTAATGGAAAAATATATGCAACCTACCGTATATTTGTAAGGCAGATCTCACTAGTTTAATAATTAAAATAGTGAAAATAGTGCGATCTTCAATGATTGTTCAAGTAAATCACCAATCAATTTAATTGGTCACAAAACCTGCCTTTTTCTCAATCAAAATATTAATGGTGAATCTTGTCTCGTATAATTCTTTATCTGCGTTTCTTTACCTATATTTATTATAAAAATTTCTAACTAGTGATATTTATTTAATAATATGATTCTACGAGCAAACAAGCAGATTAATCGATGAGGCCTTATCTGTTCTCATATTCCTGTTTGTTTAACTTGCTATAAAAAAGTGATTTGTCCTCAGAGTGTGCATATATATATATATACATGTGTTTACATATAGATATGTGGGTCATCAATAGACCAATTGAACTTAAAGTACATTTGCTAAACCAGAGTATTCCCATCGGAGGTTAATTAGTGTCTACCATAGTCTCTCACCAGAGAGCTCTTGTTATGTCACTCAATGCCTAAAGTGAACCCTCACGTAGGCTTTACACAAAATAGGCTTGAGTATTATTATTATTTGGAGGCCTGGAAAATTTTTACAACCTATTCTGAAAATGACTCCTTGAATTTCAAATCACGTGGTAAGTTAAGTAGAATGCGTGTGTGTCAACGGACATCAGTTTGCTGTCAGAAGTGAGAACAGCGAGCCAACTAAAATAGGTGGATTTGTGTTTTTGAAATTTATGGATGATTAGGGTCTAGTCAATTAGAACCCCAAATGCCTATTACCAAACTGTCCTTAGAGTTCATTATCTGGAAAACGATATTACTTTTCAACGGTCTCACTTTGCATGTTTTGTTTTCCTTTTACTCCGCGAGAATGCGCCTCACTGATAGATATCATTTCAGAACTCATTCAACTCCACATTTTCAGCTTTTCTACAAACCGTGCCCAAGGCAATCCTTAATTGCACCGTTTGATAAACCAACTTATCTCATTATTGACAAATGTGTTGGTGGATTTCTTGTTTATAAGTCCCAGTTCAAATTGTCTTTTAGTTGCCAGATTTTGTTTAAATCTCCGATATGAAAAACCCCGTTAATTAGTAAGGGAAGTGTCATACTACCTACTCTTGCATTGTTGGATATACACATAAGTTAGAAATTCTCCGAACACGTTAAGCAACTTCAAAAGTAATTTGAAATGAGCCAATATCGTTTACAACACTAGTGAACTAAACCAACTTTCATATAGTAGTATTCAGTCCTTTGTGTTTGGTCCTCTTCTGACTGACGTCCGCATGTGTAGGGCATCCCACTCCCGCCTCCCCTTCCCCCCCCCCCTCCACTCCCCTCCTTTGTTCGATAAAACAACTGTCATTGTGAAAATATAATGACGTTCAAACTTACACAAGACGTGCTGACTCTAGGTCATTGAATGGGGCCTTCAATGCTTCAATCCTGTTAACTCCACAAAATTAAATTGTTCTGGAATTAGTAATTGCAATTTTTCCAATTATTTCAAGAACCATTTTTTGGCAAAATGGGAAGAGAAGCCAGGATTCAAATTTTCTTCTACTCTAAAGTTATTTAGTACGGCTTCGAGATGATGTGAAAGAAGCTGTGCAAATGGAAAGAAAAGTCGGCTCACCGGAGCAGACCACACTTTTCTGCGTCTTATTCTTGATAAATCGTTCTATCACCCTATGCGAAGATGGCGAGGCTTCTGTGAATTAATCCTTACCCACTCTTAAGAGGAAGAGAGAGAGAGAGAGAGAGAGAGGGGGGTGGACTTTGCATTTGAGACCCTTTATATTTAAAAATGGGGGGTGTGAGATAGACTTACCTCCACGTGGTGCAACCTGGGCAACGTATTCTCATACGGCAAAAAAGTCTGTTAACTGGAAGTTGACTTCTGACCTCAAACAACAATGGCCCCACTATATGTCATATTCTACCACTTCCACAGTACACATCTAACCCTTTCTGAGCCTTGGTGTCTGTCTGTCTCTTTTACATTTGTGGATCATTATTCTGTCCCCCCACCTCTCGACTTTTGTCACTTCGTTGTCCCTTCCCCTATATGAAGCCTGAAGTCAATTAAAAGGGCTAATGATAATTATCATAAACCTGCCATTTGAAATAAATACTTAAAAACACTCTTCTCTCCTTCATCCACATGCAATTGGCTTCCCATTTTATTACAATTTTTAGTGATGTGAGAGGACGAATCAAACCAGCTCCTTGAGGTATTGATCAATTGGATTATTTACCTATGAAATATTTCGACCACATTAATTAATTAGTTTATCAAAGTACAGTCGATAATTAAAATTTGCATAGCACTAAATCTGTTAACACATTGATTAGATCATTACTAAGCATATAACATGTAATAACACTTGTATTCACATTGTATTAACTAATTGCAACAACAATGTAACAATTCAATAACATATTCAAATTACACGTGACCTCAGACAACGTCTAACGTCTAAAATTGATTGATTCTGCTTTGTAATAAATATCCAAGACTTACTGAAAAGGGATTATTGGGTGTTTATAGTACTTACAAGTTCTTGTGTCTGTGATAAACGCTGATTATCTATGCCCTAGAGAAGAGATAACTTCTTAAATCTAGTTATTTTATTTTTGACGGAAGGTAGATGTCCTGAAAGATGTATAGAATGCGTATCCATGGGCATTGAAGTCATAAACTCTGGCATGGTATTCGAGAATATACGCCTTTACCCTCTGGGGCTCTAATTACGTCACCAGCCTTCAAGAACATTTTCCAATGTAATTAATCCCTCCCATCCATGTGATCGGGCCTAG